CTGTAGATACAAAATCTTGAAAATTGTCCATGCTATAAGAACACTGAATCTTTTAGTATATTGCAATATTATTCAACTTTCATTATCCTATTATTCGTTTGTTTAGTGGCATTAAACAATATTAAGAAAAATTATAACATTTTCTATTTGTTTACAGTACAAAATGTAAACAAAAACCATGATTAAATCTGTACAAACTTATCATAATATATCTTTCTGCATTGTATCGATGCAATACAGAAAATTCATTAATGTAATTTCATAATCATGATATGATCATTTTATAAGACTATCAAAAGAATTTGAAAAAAATATTACAGTAGCCTGCAAAACAATTACATTTTTTATATATACATAGAACATGATTAGAATTAGAAATCATCACAAGGTAAACATCTGAAATTAAGATGCTTGTGAAGAGCCACCGCAACAGGAACTCTTAACTGGTTCTGTTTCTTCGGCTTCGTCTTCTACTACAACAACATTGCGTCGTGTACTACTTGTCCTTGTTAGCGTCGATTTTTGTTCAACCTCATCCGCGTGTTGTATCATTCGTCTTGTCAATTCCAGAAACATTTCTTTGATATTTTGATTTAGTTTCGCAGAAGTGTGAAAATGCATAGCTCCTACTTGCTTCGCGTATCTAACATCACATAAATTTTGTATTATCGTCGTACGCTTATCGAATGCACATGTTAAGTTACAGTAAATTTTAATACAGAAGAAAAACTTACTCTTCAGCTTCTTCTATAGCGACGCTCCTATCTTTTTCTAAATCCATTTTATTCCCCGCAATTGCTAAAGAGATTTCACTACCTAACATTTTTTTCAGTTCTTTAACCCAATTCTTCACCTGTAAAATAGGTGACAATAAAAAACATACAAAAATATTTGTTCTCTTAGAACATACCTTTTGAAAGGTATCTTCATCCGTAATATCATAAACTAAAATGGCACCGTTAGACATTCTATAATAAATTGGTCCAAGTGCATGAAACTTCTCTTGACCTGCTGTATCCCATATTGCCAAATTTACCTTCTTTCCATTTATAGTTAATTTCTTATTTAAAAATGAGGCCTGGAAGTTAATAATTATGATACGTCAAAATACATCCGACAAATGCATACAAATAAATTTAAAGCACAGATGAAGATAGAAACACGAAACAATTATAGAAAGTATTATTTGTAACCTGTAGTGTGCTAAGATGTTTAGCATTGAAGGTATCTTCGACGTATCGCAGTGCAACAGAAGTTTTCCCGACGCATCCTTCGCCAAGTAAAACCACTTTAAAATTATAATCGTTACCAGTGGTGCTGATTGAACTGGCCATAATTTACAACTAATTCCTATGTTTAGCAAATAACGTAACAAATTGAAGTTGTCACAGATTTGTCGCAGAACGTACTTAGTTTTTTACTTCTGCCGAATAAGGTTAAAACGAAACAATCAGCTGTTTTCATTTCAATGACCACTGAGCAAACAAAAAGCAAAAACATCTATGCATCTATGTATGAATGTATGTACATATATGAGAATACATATGTAATGTACTTTCGTGTTTCAAATGTATCACCGATAGATGGCAAATCACGAATACTTGATCGGTACTCCTGCCATGAAGTTCAAAATATTGTACCGAATATTTATCAGGAAAATCGCATTATTAAACGAATAAGGAATCTTCTTTGTTCAAACGTTGTGCATTAACGCGATAGGATTAAGTCGCCTCGTGTATGCTATTGTACAAAAGACGAAGTGTTTCTTCTAAGCGTTGCATTGTGTTGCGTTTAAAAAACCTGTATTCTGGCGTTTTTTTATTACGTTCGTTACTCGCGAAGATGGCGCTACATTCCCTGTTATCAAGCTGCCGCAATAATCTTTCGATTATTCTGACAGAAGAAATTTTCTTAGAAATTCCATGTACATTGTCGTTTGCTTATAGATTTACAAGGTAAATTTTGATCAAGATTATCGGTTTGATCGTATTTGTAACTGAAAAATTGAATTTTTACCGTCTCAGTACCCTGGTGGTAAACCATTGAACTGATGACCGACAAAAATCAAATCCCCCACCGGAAGTCAAATTTTCGATATTAAAGATAAACTTGCACATAAATTGAACTCGATTTATTGCTCGAATAAATGAAATACATCGTATAAAAATTTATTTGCATAGAAAATGTGCGTGTCGGAAGCCAAGAAATGTAACAGCACCGTAAAATAACAATATCCGTCTCGAACGGTTGCAGAAACTCGCTTGACTAAAGTATAGAAGAGAGCCAGCGCCGTGAGTCTGCGCAAAAGAGTTCTCAAATCTGGCCGTCACCTGTATTGAAAAGGTAAGCGAATCTTCTGTCATTAATCTTAACATCTTAATATGAATTTCGAGAGCACGTGTCGCAAAAATCTGATATATTGATAACGCGACGCGTTGTCAGCAACTTCGCAGATTGTCATGCGAAATTACTCACGTGTTTTGAATAAATATGTTCCGAGATGTCAGCGTCTTCGGCGCTATGACGAAAATCTGCCAGGCTACTGTTGTATTATCGCTAATACATTTGACATTTATTTCATGTTTCGTCCGGTTCATTCGTTGTTCTCTAGATCAATCGTTGCTGCACGCTGCCGCAATCGCTAAAATTTTCGTAGTTTATGTCAAGTGCGACAAGAAACTTTCACCAGATTGTCGTAGGTACCGCGTACCTTCACGAATTTTTCATTGTCGGCACTGGTCGTTGCATTGACAGGACATCGAATAATCCACAGAAAAGATCGTTCGTGGATCATCGTAAGAATCGAGGGTTCGCTGCGTATTATTCGTCGTTCGGGCCGATGATAATTCCCGCGTTTTTACCTGCGTGGTGTTCCACTTGGCAAGTGGACTTGTTTGTTTGTGCGTGCCGTATCATCTGTCATGGCGTGCCCGCTTGTGGCGGGTATCGTGTCGCTGACTTTTCTCCTTATTGTTCGCTCAAGGTTCGTGTCAGTCTTTATTGTCACATAGATTGTTCGAGAGGGATCGGTCGAATAATTTTTGGACAATCGATCAACGTTAATGTTATATTTATCCGATCTTTCGTTCAACATACTGCCAGTTGATCGAGACAGGGTTGGTTAGGACGGAGGGAAGGGAAAGAGCCGACCATGGCGGCGACCGTACTGTGCCACGCGCCATGTCGGTCTCCTGCTCGTGCACGTCCTTCGTTTGGTGCACCACGTTCGTCCGTAGATCTCTTTTTTTGTCTCTGTTCGTGAAAATGGCACACGACTTGTCACCAATGATCCTCGGTAGGAGCCTATCGTGCCTGGAAAAGGGAGCCTCATGTTCGCATTCAATCTTACATGTATATGTCCTACAAAAGTGATAGGTTTTTTGCCTCGAGCTAAATAAAAAAAAAGCTCAAGACATTTTTTCCAAATTCTTTTTTGTCATTACCCCGACTTTTCAGCTTGAACACTCAAATTGAATAGCACTTTTGATATCTGCGATAATTACTTGTGAAAATTCGTGTCTACGATGAACTTCTAAACATTGAGATTCTTTGGAAACTGTTATCAATTCAAAAACAGAGGGTACAAATATTATGTGACTTTTTATTGCCACGATCAAAGAAATTATTTAATCGTGCTCGACATCGATTGTAATTGCTGATTAATATTCATGACATTTAAATTTCACTTCTATAAATAGAAAATCGTTTTTTCGAGCTTGTATATCACAATGGCGGAGAAATATGTCTTGATATTTTTATTTCAACCAAAATACCGGAACCAGTTTTATCATAATGTAGGTCATCTCGATCAGATACTTGCGACATCGTTAAACATCGCCCGAATGAAATCGAAGTCTCTCGGTTCGGAGTAACATTATCGCCGGTGAGAATCGTGCTAATTGTTTATTCAATGCGTAAATTAAATTAATCGACCAACTCGGTAATCTGTTGAACAACTCGTAGAATCGGGTGACACGTATTTACATGGGGGGTGGTGCCGTCTTCTATTTTTAAAACGGCGGAGCAACTGTAAAAGTGAGAAGGAAAGTTGAACTACCGAGTTATCATGTCAGGGACACGTCGTTTCGACTCGGTGCAATTTTTGTTTGTTCATTTTTCCCTTAAAGCGAGCGTTTCGTTTCTATTTATTATTCAAAATAACAAAAAAAAAAACATCGTTCAAAATCATTTCAGCGATGCTCTCTAATTGTTTTTATAAATTTAATCTCGTCACAAACATGTGTATATTACATGATAGTATTAATCTTTACGAAGATAAACAGATTAAATTTATGCGAGCATCACAACAATGTACAACTCGAAATATAACGATGCATCAAACGGTTTTTGAGATTGCAATGAGCTTTTCATTAATTGGTTAGCATATTTTTAGTGTTTTTCTTTTTATTGTTATTTGATTGATACGGAAACCGTGCAGTTGTGTAAAGAAAATACGAAATACTATTTAATGTCCGCGCAGTGGGGTCAGAGATCCGAGTCGTATCGGGATGAAGAAGCAACCGATCAACAAACCACGTGGCAACATCGCTACCCCCCCTCCCCCTCCTGTTGTCTGATGTCCCTTACACTACGCCTTACATCGTCTGCCTTCCCCCTCACACCATGCTCATCGACTGCAACGAGGCGAAAGCACATTTACATTTTTTCGCGTATAGGTGCGTTGCAACATTCTTGCTTTGTGGTTTCAACTACCGATGGCGCCACTCCCAGAATCACTGAAAAAAATATGTCGTTTGCGTCGCCGAGACCAAGAAAGACGTTAATATGCAGGGCTGTGCATGCTCGTGACGCAAGGATCGAAATTGCACTCGTCCTTACTAGCAAATTAGCCGACCAGTTCTCAACATACATTCGTCGAACAATATTATCTATTACAGCTGGTACACGTATTAATTGGTCTAAACTTTATTATTTATAAAGTTGATCGAAAAATCGCATAGCTTTCGTAACTAATAATCTAGAACTATGGTTACTAAGATCTAATCGAAGGGAGTCATTTATTTCATTACGACGAGGTAAAATACGCAAGGGGTACGTTATAGTGCAGCCGACGTCGGCGATACGTTCGAATCATTGAAAATGCTGTTACGCTCCTGGATAAAATCATCCTTGAGAAAGACAAGGACGGATGGGGTACTATACAGAGTAAATTCGGAATATCGAAGGAAAACTGGTTTGCCTCCGCGCGTTGCACCTACTCCAACATGTGTATCTCGAACGAATAACCGTCTCGCGCACGTATACATATTCCTCTTGGCGACCAACGAACTTGTCGAAGTCAAACACGCCCTTCTAGATTTCAAATTCTCATTCGCCATGGTAAACGATCTGTTGTTCCGTGACGCCAAAGATCTGCTTTTCAAATTTACTCGAAACGAAAGAAGCATAGAAGAGAAAAGCGAATGATCACGATAGAGATAAAAAAAAAAATTCGCTCGATCGTTTTTTGAGAACGGGCTTGGGAAAACAACGCAGATCTTTCTATGTTCCGATGACACTTCAGAAGTATTCCGGTATCGCTCAAGGTACATATTTAATATTTATCAAACAACAGACATATAAGTTAACGTATACTTGTACTACACGCGCTTGTTGACTGGGTATGGCTTAATTGTCGTTCTAAAACTTAATCGAAGAGGCGATATTTTATGAAATCCGATGCTTCGTTGTATCGGTCGCGTATTACATTTTTGTTGTGGTTTCACGTTTCACTATTTTTAGACCCTTGTTGTGGCAGACAGCATAATTTCCTATTTTTTCTCTCCTCATTTAAAATTGAACACAATCTTATCTCACTAACATTATCGTGATTTCTTCTTTCATGTATTTATTTATCGATAAGTTCTCTTGCTCGAAATGCTTTCGTTACATTGTATACGTAATATTATGGAACTCGCTGCAATTGATACACATACATAGGTCAGTGTTTACAGGCATTAAATGTCTCTCTGTATATATTATAAATAACATTGAAATAACTAATACATTGAATCGTGAAACAATACGATTCGAATGAAAAGCATTAATAATGTTCTGCAGAGGAGGGTACTTGTATTAGAAAGAAGCGTGATCTAATATAGTTGAATGTATTGTACATACGTTTAACATTAACGTGAATGAAACAAGTAGTCACAACAATATAATATAATATTGCAAGTCACAGAGTTTTTGAGGAGGTTCTTTGTAGAAAGAAACGTTTGGGTGAAGTGTCGATTTCCTTCAGCATATTGTTTTTCTTTGCAGTTTTATCGTGTAATATAAGTGGGGATTCGTGAGATTATGGACGCCCCCTAGTAGCAATGCGTGTGTCACGGCGCGTAGCGTCTTGCACGTATACACTGTCAAGCCGAAATCGCGGTGTTAGTTACTGAACTGGCAACGAATCGATGTAAACAAGTATTATAAAGATGGTGACGATCTACAATTTTTTCGTCGTAAAAAATTGTCGCGAATGAATTTTATACACGATTTTATACCGTACGGACAGAACGAAGCTAATTTCGACTACGGTCACACGATCATCGAAAATGCTGTATTCAATAAAGGTACATTATTTTCAGGACGCGTTCTTCACATACGGTTAAACGTTTTTTTTTTTATATCCTTGTACCTATATGCAATTCTTCTTTGTAGGTAATTAATTACAATTATAAATGTAGATCGATTGTAAATTCTCGATGGTATCGGAGTGAATTCAGTTGGAATAAACTTTTATTGGTTTTATTATGAATTTCTTGTCGTGTGATATACTTTGTTTATGTAAGATTTTATACAAAATTTTAATCAGATAATCTTGTACCGGCATTGAAAATATTATTTAATCGTTTTTGCTTTTACAGGAGCAGCGTCAAAATAACTTGCAAAATGTTTAGTTTTCACAAGCCAAAGGTCTATCGATCTAGTACTGGGTGTTGCATTTGTAAGGCCAAGTCTAGCAGGTACGTTATGAAATAACTTTTAATAATGAAATAATGAATTGTTCCCTTAAGAATAAAAAAAAAATAAAAATAAAATCTTTTTCTGTTCACATAGCTCGCGGTTCACAGACAGTAAAAAATACGAGGATGATTTTATGGAATGTTTCCAACTCGAGGAAAGGCGCACCGGGGAAATTTGTAATGCATGCGTTCTTTTAGTGAAAAGATGGAAGAAATTACCAGCAGGAAGTAATCGCAACTGGAGACACGTGAGTTTCGATAAAACTGCTACTATTTGTTCAATTTCCTCTCTAGTCACAACCTTATTTATGAATTAAATTTTTGTTTTGTACAGGTTGTTGATGCACGTGCAGGACCTGGCATAAAGTCGTTAACCAAATTTAAATCAAAAAATAAAAAGAAAATAAAAGATCTACCAGAAAAATTTGAGAAGATAATGAAGAAGAAACATATCTATTTAAAAACTGATAGAGATCGTGAACAAAGCCCAGCAATGAGCGATGATTTAACAGGTACGTAATAAATTGGTTGTGTTAAAATAAAACGCATTTTTTAATGAATAAGATTTATTTCTTAATTTAGCAAACTTTTCATTTTATCTCTGATGAAGTAAATTTTAATTATAAAAAAAGGACTTTGAAAATTTTAGATTGCATAATTTCGAATTTTTTGTTATAGAAGACTATTTAAATGGAAATGGCAGTAAAGGCTCCAGTCGTGCCGGCAGTCCTGTAGGCAGCGACGATATTCCAGTGACTGAAAAACAATTAGATATGCAGGATATTTCGGAATCAAAGGATGATTTAACTGTTAATGGATTTATCGATTTGTCGTATTTCAAAAGGTAAGTTAACTGACCAACTTGTTTTAATTCGAATAACTCGTACATTTAAGTTAATATAGTATGGATTCGTTGTTTAATTTCAGGGAGGTAATTTGTTGTGGAACAATATTCAAAGGTCCATACGGGGAAGTAATAGTGGATCCTTCGTTAATAAAACCATGCATCGGTTGTATAGCTAGACAACAACGACAACAACAAACAAATGCATTAAGTTGCAGTCCTGTGCATAGTTCCGCATCAGCCAGCCCTGTCCACAGTTCCGCGTCTGCTAGTCCTGCCCATAGTGTAGAGTCTGGTACAGAGACTACTGTCTCTAAGCAGACAAATAAGACGTTTAGTGACTCGTCATCAGATTCTGGCTACGATGAATCCTCTAATCAAGGAGTTGGTGAAAGTAAGATTACTAAAATTATACAAAGTACGAGTGCTACTGTAAAATCAGCGGTCAAGATACAACCGTTGAAAAGTGTTCAGTTAAAAGCTATACCAGTATCGGAAGCTGTCAGGTTAAAAACAGATGTGCCAATCAAGTTGGTACCTATTAAGCAGATTGATCAACTGTCTTGTAAGCCATTGTCTTTAGTTTCTNAAATAACTTGCAAAATGTTTAGTTTTCACAAGCCAAAGGTCTATCGATCTAGTACTGGGTGTTGCATTTGTAAGGCCAAGTCTAGCAGGTACGTTATGAAATAACTTTTAATAATGAAATAATGAATTGTTCCCTTAAGAATAAAAAAAAAATAAAAATAAAATCTTTTTCTGTTCACATAGCTCGCGGTTCACAGACAGTAAAAAATACGAGGATGATTTTATGGAATGTTTCCAACTCGAGGAAAGGCGCACCGGGGAAATTTGTAATGCATGCGTTCTTTTAGTGAAAAGATGGAAGAAATTACCAGCAGGAAGTAATCGCAACTGGAGACACGTGAGTTTCGATAAAACTGCTACTATTTGTTCAATTTCCTCTCTAGTCACAACCTTATTTATGAATTAAATTTTTGTTTTGTACAGGTTGTTGATGCACGTGCAGGACCTGGCATAAAGTCGTTAACCAAATTTAAATCAAAAAATAAAAAGAAAATAAAAGATCTACCAGAAAAATTTGAGAAGATAATGAAGAAGAAACATATCTATTTAAAAACTGATAGAGATCGTGAACAAAGCCCAGCAATGAGCGATGATTTAACAGGTACGTAATAAATTGGTTGTGTTAAAATAAAACGCATTTTTTAATGAATAAGATTTATTTCTTAATTTAGCAAACTTTTCATTTTATCTCTGATGAAGTAAATTTTAATTATAAAAAAAGGACTTTGAAAATTTTAGATTGCATAATTTCGAATTTTTTGTTATAGAAGACTATTTAAATGGAAATGGCAGTAAAGGCTCCAGTCGTGCCGGCAGTCCTGTAGGCAGCGACGATATTCCAGTGACTGAAAAACAATTAGATATGCAGGATATTTCGGAATCAAAGGATGATTTAACTGTTAATGGATTTATCGATTTGTCGTATTTCAAAAGGTAAGTTAACTGACCAACTTGTTTTAATTCGAATAACTCGTACATTTAAGTTAATATAGTATGGATTCGTTGTTTAATTTCAGGGAGGTAATTTGTTGTGGAACAATATTCAAAGGTCCATACGGGGAAGTAATAGTGGATCCTTCGTTAATAAAACCATGCATCGGTTGTATAGCTAGACAACAACGACAACAACAAACAAATGCATTAAGTTGCAGTCCTGTGCATAGTTCCGCATCAGCCAGCCCTGTCCACAGTTCCGCGTCTGCTAGTCCTGCCCATAGTGTAGAGTCTGGTACAGAGACTACTGTCTCTAAGCAGACAAATAAGACGTTTAGTGACTCGTCATCAGATTCTGGCTACGATGAATCCTCTAATCAAGGAGTTGGTGAAAGTAAGATTACTAAAATTATACAAAGTACGAGTGCTACTGTAAAATCAGCGGTCAAGATACAACCGTTGAAAAGTGTTCAGTTAAAAGCTATACCAGTATCGGAAGCTGTCAGGTTAAAAACAGATGTGCCAATCAAGTTGGTACCTATTAAGCAGATTGATCAACTGTCTTGTAAGCCATTGTCTTTAGTTTCTTCTACCAATGTTACTTTAAGCAGTAGTACTTCACACTCCATTGTTACCGTCCCAAGTAATCCGCTCGTCGATTTTGCCATGCACGCAGCCTCCTCAAGGCAGTCAGTCTCTAATTAATGTCAGTCTCTCATAGAGTTTTAATTTATTTTTTTTTTCTTACACATAGACATATGCTATGATACAAAATTGTGTGTTAAATATGCTACCATTTACTATCCCAGATCACAAAGGCTCTGGATGAGAGTGTTTAAGTTTTATCATATCGAGCACAGAGAGTTTATGATGTTATGAATGATGGGAAAGTGAATTCTTGTGATTAGAAGAACTGTTATAGTGTACAGTAGACATATAGTGCTCTTGGGAAAGGTTACACAGGATATATATCCTCGATCGTTGGTTGTTAAAAAAGATATATATACATACATATATATATATATATAAAATTACATATTATATTGTCTTCATGGACGCGAGCTCTTAAAGTACGTTCCATGCCTGTTAGCTGATTCTTACGAGAGCACAGTTGAAAAAGGGCACGATGTTTCTACTGGAATGCTGTTTGTAGCATAGATAAAAAAATACTTATAAACTGCCATGAATATATATATACATAATTGTAAACTCCTTGCAAAATGTTTTCCAGTATGCGGGGAGTTTTCAATTACTTTTTAAGTGTAATGATTAGCTACGTACATCAAAATACTGTGATGACATTATAATCTATTGTGAGATATAAGGTTATTATTCAGCAAGTGGCAGTTTATGGTATCTTTTATTTCTAAGCATTAGTCGAAGTAACCGTGTGGGTGTAAAAAGGGTTTCTTTCTTATCCATAGCTTTTCGTTTTCTGGGCTTTACATAAAATTGCAATCATAAATGTGAATATATGTATAGAAGTTCCAAGATGCCAATCATTTTTCAAACATTTGGGTCCAAAAATTAAGAGAGAAAAAAAAAGAACGAATTCACTTTAGGGTCACGATAGCTACATTGTACCAGATGCATTTGATAAATATGATTCATGCAAAGGTCCATGACGTTAAAAATAAGTAATTCAACATAAGGAACGAATGTGTTCGGGTACTGTAAATCCTGACCCATTGATAGCAATAAATACGAAGGGTAACTTTATAATAAACTAAACGAAGTCTGTTGAATAGCATCATATCAGTATGATGATATATTTAGGCAGTATTACTAGAGAGTGAAATTGAACGAGAATAAGGCAATCAGATTGGCAAACTGGACCAGTAAAATTTGTTATAATATATTTCAGGGTTACTGTATAATTAATGTAAAAAAGAAATGAATGAACAGCAGATTATTGACCTATGGAAATAAGTATGATAATGGTAAATAAGTGAAAACTGTTAGTTCCTAGTTTTCAGAGATGGGCACACGACCGAACAAAAGCACACGAAAGTACCTGTTGGAAACCGATTAACTGTGATCATTGGATTATTCAGACTTTTCAAACACGTTCTTTCCTTTTCATTTCACGGTTAAACATTTGAACGACACACGCACAATCGAAATTTGAATACGAAGTAGTTTTTGTGGTGGAACCCAGGAGTAATCGCAACAAACAAGTTTTTTAAGACTTATATTACATGTAAGATGCACCTGAAGCAAGATATAAACTCGATCCTATTAAAAGATAACATCCATAACAATTGTAAACGTACAGTTAACATTACTTTAACGACAACGCCAAAGATACGAGAGAGATAGACATTATTTTATAGCAACGACAAATCATTTGGGCGATAATGCAAATTTTTTATGAAAGCGTTATATTTGACTGCGGAATTGAAACAAGAAAATCTTAGTATTTAAAAGAACGCAAAGTAAGAGTAATAATAATAAAATTTAAGAGTAATCTACTTCTGGGATATTGGCAATCTTCACGATGGACTCTTGTCTGACAGAAAAAGTTCGTTTACGTTTTAGAGTACTGTGTTTGTTGCCCATCTGGCTTAAGCTGATTGACAATCGTTACGTAACAAGGAAACGATAACAGTTTTTCATATGAAATCAAACATCGAAACTATATAATTTGTTCAAGGACAATGTCGACCACCTTGTCCTTCGACAAATTTCAATTGTACATTTCTTTGCCTAGGAGACTTTATGATCTCTTTACTGTGAATATTAATAGCTATGGTTTTTTGTTGTAACTGGCACGTTATGATTTATAATAATTAATATATGTTAAGAATTAAGGTCGGATCATAGATGAACAAGCCATACGTTTAGCACTATTGTGTAAGATTGATCTTTTATTAACAGTCAGAAATATAATGAATCTTGCTACTCGAGACGCTCAAATTACAATTAAGGTTTCTATAATATACTCGTTCAGCACATAACTAATATAATTTTTTAAATAATCTTTATATCTAGTCTATGATCCTTCCTCTAAACGGAAAAAATAAGGAATACTTGTTTAACTTATTTATTTTGTAAGTTTATTTACTTGCAATATATAATATTCTTTTTCTACGTAAATTTATATATATTTTTATACAAATTAATCTTTGCTTTTTATGAAATAAACCATCTGTAGCACTGCCAGGGAAGAAGAACGTGCCTCGCGTTCGATTCCAGGTCAATCTGCTGGCAATATTCGAAGAATTATTTATTTTCAATTAGTATGAATATTAATCTAGTTCTTGAGTGTTAATAATACGTGCAGTAATTTCACTCAAAGCTTGAAAAAAAAGAAAAAATGAACAACTTGGGAAGGGGAGATACGATTGTTCGAGATTCGTAGCTCGTTTTTATAGTTGTTGATAATCGCCAACTATAAAAATAAGCCGCACACTCTCGAATGATCGTATCATCCCAAGTTGTTCATTGTCGTTCCCAAACCGAGGGATATAATGTGAGAGAAATTACTGTAACTTGAGAAATATATAAATGGTGCCCACAGATTGATTAGGCACTAGAAACATTCATATGTGTGCGTAAGGAAATTTTGTACATGAATATATATATATACATATATATAAATAAAATGGTCTCATATTCGAAGTAACATAATTGCGTGATACATAAAGAATACAAATAATTGCGTGTGTTTTTAAAACAGAAAAATGATGACAAATTAAAACACTTTATCGATAGAAAGATTATTAATGAATATATTGTATGTGCAGCTATGAAAATAATATTATTTATGGATAATGCGAATAGCTGTGGACAAACATCAAATTATCTTCTATAGATATTGGGATGTTACATTAAAGTTAAGGAAGAGCATGTGTCATTTCCAATATGTTAAACGTCCTTGAAAAAAAAAACTGTTTAAATAAAATAACATGATTACAGTTCGTGTGCATTGCTATCGTATATAACTTGAATTACAACATGAATTAACATATAGTAAATTTTCTCCAATTGTTCCTCAGCTTGTAAGTGAAAAATTTAGGAAAAGGAGATACGATTGTTCGAGCCTTGCGCCTCGTTTTTATAATTATTGAAAATAGGCAAGTGTATAAAAACGAGCCGCGAGACTCGAATAATCGTATCTCCTCTTCCGAAACTGACCATTTTTGTTTACAAGCTGAGGGACAATTTGAGAGGATTTACCGTAATTCTGAAATACTTAATCTTTATTTTGATTCACATAGAAAAATTGAGGCAAAATACGATTTTAAGTTACACACACAGTTTGTGAGATCTATTGAAATACTTATGTACTTAACATTTTTCTTCTGCTTTAATCGTCTTCCTGAACAGTTCTCAATCGCATTGAATTACACAGTTAAAACATTACATGGATAAGAAATATATAGTGGCTAAGTTATTAGAAAATATTTTCTTCTTTCCGAGATTCGCTGTTCCAGCTTTCAGTAAATCTTACAAACGTTTTGCAAGTCTTAAGCATTGCGATAAAAAAACAAACATCACACGTGATCCATCCGATGCACAGCATTTTGAAATTTATACACGTTCACGATGTGTCAATTTTTTCCTGTCCTCAGCAGCGGGGATTTTTATAACAGAATGAAAAAAAAAGAAATAAATCAAATCGCAGAGAAAAATTGACACGTCTTGCTGACTTTTATATACATTTTGGTAGACGCGCGTATCTCACTACCGAAATTATTGAATACAAATTTCGGAATACGCGATGCGACGTGTCGTGTAAGAAGCTCAGAATATGAAAAAATTAATGTATATGTATACATATTCGTGTGTATAGTCTATGATATCGATGAATGTGGTTTTTCAAAATCCGTATGACTTTCAATATTCACGATGACCAGAATATAACTGACTGATCGAGAGAATGAGTGAGAGAGAAAGAGAGAGAGAGCGATGAAAAGAAATCTAGGTAGTGGAAAATGTGGTGCAAATATTTTACTACAGTGACCTGGCAGATTCCGATATTGAATATTTTGCAATGACAAAAGAATGAAAGAAAGAAAAACGAAACGTACGAACGACTTTTTCCAAGAGTATCCTGCAAGTTTTTTTTTTCTACGTCGAACTTTTTTATATTTGAGATTTTAAGAGATCATGGGCGACATAGGCAAAAGTAGATGGAAAATACCGGGGCACATATTACTATTCGCTATGTCTGTCTGGCAGCAAGTCAAGAACATTTTCTTTTTCCGCAGTGTGATTATGTTCGTCCTGTAATTTTAAGTATTTATCACGATACGATAATTTATAATCGCATTTAGAAGAGAACCCTTTGGTGCAAGCATTCGGTTCGGTTCGTGATCGTAGACGATTCTCTTGTGCATCTATTATATATATTTACAAAAACTTATTTCCTAACAAATATCTTTGTGTTCCTTCTCTTTTTTTTCGTTGATTTTCTTTCTTTTTAGTATTTCGAGGGTAGCAAAACTTGATGTGTCCTACTAGAGATCTTTCTAATCCATAATTAAACTGAAAGAGACAGACATATGAAAGGAATGATACAATTTTGTGGCATAGGAAAAGACGTGTGTAAATATTCGTATAAGTATACATAAAATGGTCATTATTAAACATACGTATATATCATATTACGTGCATAGGCATTTTTTTTAAGAGAGGATTCGATCGCGCGATAACATTTATAATTGGATCAAATTCAGTCGGTTACTTTGGACTAGACTAAATCCCATTCTACGATATTCTACTGTAATATCCGAGGATGGTTTCTTCGTTTAGTGCCCCAATTGATTTTGTTCCAACTATAAACACGGTGGGATAGTGTGGCCGTACGGCGTACGATGCGCTGCCACAAAAACAGCTAAGAGAAGAATGGAAACATTTACATCAATATTTAAATAATGATTGAGAGACTGATTGATGTATTTAGTAGATAACTTTTATTTACAACTACTACAGATAAGCAAGGATATTGTACCATTTCTTGCGTATGTTAATAAAATTCTAATAATAAGGAACGACGACTGCCACGAAACAAATATATCTCGTTATAGCAATGATTATTATATTGTATGGTATAAATATTTGTTCATATATATGTATATATATATATACACAATATGTATGTATATGTATATATATGTGTGTATATTACGTTAGTGTAGATTCTAACGCACCAATTCCAATGATTGTACAATGATCGTGGAAGTATTAGGATTGACCAACTGGTTCAATGACATCCGGTGAGAGATGGTCGTTCCATTACTTTGAACGGAACATGCCACTGTCAAGTTATCTACAACTTTGTAATAGAACGATACAATACTTAAGACTCTATTAGTCATACAAATCGAAGATAGATAATGCTATCGCTAATATTACATAGTATATGAATAGAACTATTTCTAACCGAACGACCGTTTTATTTCGATTCGATTTCGTAGACTATATACACACACACACATACACACGCATTGAATATATTGTCGAACTGTTTTTTATAAGAAAAAAAAGAGATAGATTAATTAACAGACAAATTGCGAATCAATGGATTTACACTATTATATTGAGAAAGAAAGAAAAAAAAGAAGATAAAAGCAAAATGAATATATGTACATCTATATATACACACACGTATAAAAGAAGTCTGTGAGATACCAAATTTTGATAGATAAATAAACGATATCGTGAATATATATATAGTATATGTATACATAGACGTATTTAGGGGATGCGCAATAATCTCTCTTTTTTTTCATCTCGTTCTTATTAAGGTACATTTCTTCTTCTATGATTTCTCAGTTGAAACAAATTTGCAGAGACGAAGTCTACAATTATGTCGTTGCTGTTCTGCTGTGATGATTAGTCAAGTATGACTGTCTGTGAAGGTACAGTTGATGAACGATTGTAATCGAGAATTCGCTATTCTCAGTTTCTATTCTTACTCGAAAGCATAGAAATCCCTAAGAAATTTATATAAACTTTGTACGTTTACGAAAATTATTTAAAACATCGGCACGAAGCATTTTGCATTTGAATATTTGATGATCTCCGGTACGAAATTGAGTAGGAAATAATTTAACCCTCTATTGTGTGTTTTTTTTGTATGTAGATCGATAAGCAACGCTCGGTATCGGAAAGATGCGAAGAATCTTTTCATGAAATATCTATAAAAGAAGAAAAGTAATGAAAGTGCAATTAAAAATGTTGTGGTGATCGGAATGTAATTCCTTAAAAAGGATTCATATAACTATACATTTGGAGGGTTGAATGAGACATTGAATATTTTCGAGTGATCGTATTATAGTACTCGTATTTAATCATGGACCGATGAAAGTGCAAAATGCTTACTCAAAAAATTATATATTAAACATATAAATATATATATGTATGTGTATATACATATTCGTTGTATTATGCATGTATATATATGTATATGCATACATATGTATAATAATCCCATAATGGACATTTTTTTTGTAGAAATTCCTTGTATCCTAAACTCAATTAATCGTAATAAAAGAAAAATCAGAAAATTATGAATAAACAAATTATTGAAGGTAACGTTGTCAAAGAACGAACAAGGTAGCTGGCAGTGCGAGAAACCCTGCTCTACCGAAGCATGTTTTTTAAAAAAATACTATTTTTTAAGAGGACGATGACACGTGATTCTTCATTAATAGAAATGCAAATTAATATTGATACCTCTGAACCGATCGAAATAGTATCGTTAAAGTGACGAACGTCGTCTTTGTACACATGCAATAACTAAGATATGCGACACTCAATATTTCTTTTCTTCGATCGCTATAATATAGGAGCAACGCTGCTAAAGCTAAAATAAAATCTTACATTTTCCATGCGTACTATTACACACCGCTCCGAATTTCTTTCGCATTGTCCCTCGGCTTGTAAACAAAAACGGACAACTTCGGGAAAGGAGATACGATTAGTCGAGGCTCGCGGTTTATTTTTATAGTTACCGATTGTCAACAACTATAAAAGCGAGCCTCTTCCCGAGTCGTTCATTTCTTATTTACAAGCTGAAGGACAACGCGAGAGAAATGACTGTGTACATACATATAATACATATACTGGTCAATCCATTTGCCGCCCAATTAAGAATCACCTGAGCAACGTGCACTCGGCATAGCATACTCTGATATGCTACCATATATTTGGGATATTTCTTAATAATTAGATTTTGTAATTTATATCTTTACACGATTACACGCATTATACATATACGGTCATGTATAGATATAATTGTACATAAGAACTTTTTTATATCATATTGTATGTACGAAATAATATGTACGTACAAGCTGGGGCATGAATCGTGGTATATGCATCGATGGTGCGAATAAAATGTAGGAGATTCCAAGTAAGATAAAATGGTTAAAAGAGAATCTCCTTCACCCTACCTATACTACGATATACGGCACATGCTATATTATACATACATGTAGTCTTTTAAATGCATACATATATATATATATATATATATACATATAGTCTTCTGGACAATGCATAGCGAATTAAAATTTTTAACTATTGCGCCGTGAATAAACTGCGAAAAAGTATTATGTACTTATTCCAATTGTTAAACATTGATTAAAATATTATATACGAAATTGCTTGAGCTATTATCCTTTTTACTTGTTCTGTTATCTAGGAATTTTATCTCAAGTATTCATTACATAAAAGCAGTTAAAAATAACAAATACTCTTTTGTAAATATCACAATCAGTTTATCAATTTGTACAATTATCAGTAGGATAAAAAAACGTATAATATTTATCATTGTGCATATGATATAATATATATAATAAATATATATTATATAATATATTATTATATTATATATATATATAATATAATATATAATATAATAATATAATATATATTTATTATATATATATATAATAAACCATAATTAATATACATACGATATTATGTACCAGCCGGAAAGTAGTCGTCATATTTTTGCTCCTACCGAAGGCGCATAAATTCATTTAAAACCTCATTTATCAAAAACGATTTTCTTTCGTACAGTCTTCTTCTTTATTTTTAACATTGCGAAGTTAAGTCATGAAACTGATTTCATGCGCGAATCTTTTCTGTTTGCAATGAAATTTCATGCATTTCCTGATACGAGGTGGTGTCAAAAAGAAATCGAACGCTATTTGGTAATCCAAGCCCGCAACTGATAACGCTTAATTTCAATAAATATGTAAAAAAAATGCAAAAATTACTAAAAATTCAATAAAAATAGTGGATAAATAATTATAGTGAATATTGAATCGCATTGCAGATCGAATTTTGTACCCATCGTACTGTTTTTCAATTACCAGTTACTATTTTGAAGGGGAAGGAGGAGACGAAAAAAAAAACTGAAAAATATTTAATTTTACCTAAATTTGTAATAATATAATAATAATATTTATTAGCTGAAAAATATATAATAAACTAAAACTATTCAAAATTTTCTTTTGTATGGTAAATTTCAAAACAAGGTGCAGCACATAGCTCAACATTCCTTATTTCAACATTACTCTCTATAAAAATACACCATAAAACAAAAACGTTTTTATATGTTGACACTAATAATATTTGTAAAAAATAAAAAACAATTGTCTTTGAAGAAATTCACTTTGATAACGTCTACTTTACTTCCATCCTAAAAGTGCATATTTTATTCCTGAATAAGCAAAAAATAGAAAGAGATCGGAGATAACTGGAGA